CCTGCACACCTCATACTGGGGATTGAGCCCGCAACCTGTGCATGTGCCTTGACTGGGAATTGAACCGTGAGCTCCTGGTTCATAGGTCAACACTCAACCATTGGGCTACAATTAACTATTTTTAAAGAGCATCCTCCACTCCAGGCGCATTGAAGTGGTTGGTGCTTTTGGAAATATGACAGTGCAGGGAGGCTGTGGATTGGGTTGTTGTGAGGAGAAGAAACAGGAATGATTTGGAGCTTTGCTCAGCTCACACTCTGTCCCAGCCCCAAACCCTCTTTTCATTCTCAAACATATTAAGGAAATCAAAGGTCAGATATTAGTTGTATGACTTTAGATTGGTTCCTCACTCTTTCTGAGCCCTTTTCCTGGTATGTCATATGGGCCACATTTCTAGAGAAACCTCCCAGTCCTCCTTCCCCCGATTCCCAGCACTGTGAGTGAGGCATAGGGAGGGGAAGCCTTGCTCTGTGGTCCTGGGAAGGAGAGGAGGGAGGACTGGGAGGAGCTGGGAGGAGGAAGCTGGATGGGGAATGGAGTGGGGAATGGTGGTGGAGCAGCAGGGAGGGACAGCCCTGGGAAGGAGTTTCCTCCTGTCTCTCCTCTCCCTGGGACTGTGAGGAATGACTACGCCATTTCCTGTTGTAATTCTGGGTAGGTCTGTGCTATGGTGAGTACTGGACAGGGAGCCAAAGACCTGGATTTCACTCACACCTCACCATTGGTTACGTGTGCCCCAGGGCAAGTCAGTCTGTTCTTTGAACATTGGCTTTCTCAACAGTTAGGAGTTAATGCCTGACTGTTTGTGAAACAGCAAGAGGAAAGGTACTTTGTGAAAAGCTAAACAACTATATGTTATGTCAACATGCTAACAGTACACATACTATTGTTTCTTTTTAACAGGTTTTAAAAAAATCTTCATTGTTGAAAGTATTACATAAGTCCCTCTTTTTCCCCCATTGACTCCGTGTAGCCTGCCCTGGGCCCCTACTCCCCCTTCACCCTATTGTCTGTGTCCGTGGGTTATGCATATATGCATACAAATTCTTTATTGATCTCTTCCCACCCACCCCCGCCTTCCCTCTGACATTTCGTAGTCTGTTCTGTGCTTCTGTGTTTCTGGATCTATTTTGTTTATCAGTTTATTTTGTTCATTAGATTCCACATATGTGAGATTCTGTGATACTTGTGTGTGTGTCTCTCTCTCTCTCTCTCTTGCTCTCTCTCTCTCTCTGTTTGAAAACTGAGTTGCTGCCTTCTCTGTGTGGGTTTTTTTTTTAATAATTCTTTTTTTTTAATAATTCTTTATTGTTGAAAGTATTACATCTGTCCCCCCATTTTTCCCCCATTAACCCCTTCCAGCCTGTCCACACCCCCACCCCAGGCCCTCACTGCTCCATTGCCTATGGCCATGGGCCATGCATATATACATACAATGTTCTTGGTTGATTACTTCCCATCCTCCTTCCCCTGCCTTCCCTCTGAGATTCTGCACTCTGTTCCGTGCTTCCATGTCTCTGGATCCCCTCGGTTTGTAAGTTTATTTTGTTACTTAGATTCCACATATGAGTGAGATCATGTAATACTTGTCTTTCTCTGGCTGACTTATTTCACTTAGCATGATACTCTCCAGGTCCCTCTATACCAGGGGTGGGCAAACTTTTTGACTCGAGGGCCACAATGGGTTCTTAAACTGGACCGGAGGGCCGGAACAAAAGCATGGATGGAGTGTTTGTGTGAACTAATATAAATTCAAAGTAAACATCATTACATAAAAGGGTACGGTCTTTTATTTCAATAGATTTATTCATTTCAGACGGGCCGGATCTGGCCCGCGGGCCGTAGTTTGCCCACGGCTGCTCTATACCTTTTCAACCGGTTAGAGATTCTTCTTTTGTACTGCTACATGGTGTAACTGTACCACAGATTTTTTATCCACTCATCTTCTGATGGGCACTTGGGCTATTTGTAGATCTTAGCTATTGTAAATTGTGCTGCTATGAATGTAGGGGTGAATACATTCTTTCTGATTGGTGATTCGGGTTTTTTAGGATATATTCCTAGAAGTGGGATCACTGGGTCAAATGGCCATTCCATATTTAATTTTTTGAGGAAACTCGATACTGTTTTCCATGATGGCTGTACCATTCTGCCTTCCCACCAGCAGTTTACTAAAGGGCTTCAAGATACAGAGTTTGAGGGGAGGCACACAAACATTTAGTCCATAGCAATTTCTTTCTATGGCTGATTGTATGGATATACCACATTTTGTTTATCCATTCATCAGCTGAACATGTGTATTTTTCTTCTACTTTTGGGCTATTATGAGTAGTGCAGCTGTAAACTTTAATATGCATATTTTATATGGACATATGTTTTCTTTTCTTTTTAAATGAATTAATTAATTAA